CCCAAGCGTTTACCTTCAATGCACATGATTAATTCACCTGGCATTAAAGATAAGCTTAATCCTCGGGCATTTCTTGAATTGGCTAATCAATAACTCCTGCAAGTTGGTGGACATGTCCAGAGATGAATGCTGGGCCCTGGTCAGTGTGATCCAACCCACTGGGGGACAGCTACCAATTTCCATCAACCCTTTGGCTAGTAGAGGGGGGCTGAGAGGGGCAGGGTGAAATGTTTTGTGCCTAGAAGCATGCACATAGCCAGTACCCAAGATGATCTTGCCTTCTCTTCAGCATCCTCTTCTCTGTCCACGCTGCCACTTGGTCTCCATAATAGCTCTTGGGTTTTGGAGTGAAACACACCTAGGTTCTAAATCTGGTCTGCCACTTACTAGCTGTATAATTCCAAACACACACAACCTGAACAGCTCTGAAGAGAAAAGGCTGGGGAAAGGTAACCAGTGGAGGACACAGTGGGGCGAACCGTCTGGGTGATTCTCTCCAGAGGGTCACAGAAAAACATGTAAAACCAGAAATCGGACACAGTCTCCATTCCTGCAGACGGAGCGTGAGGACAAAGAAAGCCGCGGCAAAGCGATTCCAGGGGGTTTCCTGGAAGCAGAGTGGTGTCCCTGGGAGGGCAGTACCAAACGGAATCCTTCGTAGCTGAAATCCAAAAAGGACCTCTGGGGGATATTTCTGTTTCTTCACCACTATGTGAAATCCTTGCAAATTCTGACCTTGGGCTTTCAGAGCCCAGAGGACTAACAAATGGCCATCCTGACAATTGTCTGAGGCTTTACATCTTACCTGCTTGACTAAGCTACAGCTCAGGAAGCTATCTGTCAATATAAAGAAAACAAATTAGCCTGATTTTTGTCCTGCTGAATTTACATTCTAAATCCAAGAGTCCTCTGATGTCAGAGTAAAGAAGATTGACAGTAGAAAAAGAACAAGACAGTTCAGTGCAACCCCCACATTTTCATTCTCCATGGATGCCTGCAAGTGCAGTGGAAAGCAACTGCAGCCTACAGGTCAGAGCACAGCCCTCTGAGGCCCTCTCAGTGGCTAAATACTCACATGGGGAACTAACCTAAAAAAGTTAATTTTGACAATTAAAAAGTCAGCAGAGATCTTCAGGGCTAACCCTCTTTCCCTCTCATACAAAACTTATTTATACTGGAAACATTATGAATCTTAATCCAAGCTAATTTTCCCATCAGCATCATAATTAATTACCCAAATAAAACATTTCTTTTGCATGTGGAGTACTTAATACAATGGTACCTACAAGGCTAGAGGTAGATTGATTTATTTATAAATTTAACGCTGGTAGCCAATTCTGTTAGCTTGAGAAGTTCAGCAAAACTTCTGTCTTTTTGAAAGGTAAACAAACGTTGAAAATCATCTTTAGAAGTATAAAAATGTTATTCCCAGCAGAACCCCGTGTACATTGAAAGCAGCAATCATTATATGAACTGTTCTGAAATTACATTTGCTAAAATCAAGATTGTTATTCGCCAATAAGAACAGATTCTCACAGACAGCCTTTGTGACAGGTCATGTTTGGTAGCCATGGCATTCTGGAACTGCTTGTGCCCGTGACTATTTTAAGCTCATTATCTAACCTTGCCAAGAGTGGCCTCCCTAGATGGTCACTCAGCAAACACCTCCACAGCAGAATTTCCTAGACAGGATTAGTGCTCCAGCCCTTACCGGATGAGATGCCTCACTGCAGCGTCAAACTGCAAGAACATAACCTCCCTCCGGAGGAGAAGTGCCTGGGCCACCCGGGTAGGGTCTTGGGGGCTCTGGAGGCTGTCAATCATGTTCTGCAGCTCTTGAAGCTCAGACCCTAGAAGATGGACAATATTTTAGTCTGACAATGTGAAATATAGGCTACTATAGCTAAACCAGTAAACCAACATTTTGTCCCATACTTATCACCTAATCAGACTTCCCGTGTTTTGTTTGTGGGTATACTAATTATATGTTTTGCAAGACCAGCAAAGCCTTATGCTCTAGAATTAAAGGTCTGATTTATGTCTCCTTTCTTCCTCAGGAAGATAAAAATTTGCTTTGCTTTTCAGTACAATAAGAACAGACCAGGAATGAAAGTTTTAAAATTTATAAGGCTATGGTCTTGAAATAGAACAAAAAGGAGAAATGACAAGGAATAGGAAAATCTGGTCCTCAGTATATCTGTTAGGTACTTGAAGAGATCAGAGATTATGAATCAGCACTCATCTCTTATTGCCATGCTATATCCAAATCAGCCCTGCCCGTCACTGGCTCATGGATTAAAGAAGATTCAAGACCATCTAAAGCAAGTAAAAAGCACATGTGCATATATGTATATATAAAGATATGTAACATATGTATACATACACATATGTGTATACATATGCATACATATCCTTCTAGGAGATTCTAGTCATTTTAGGAGCAAATGTGGAGGATCCATATTTGCTTTATTTCTTAGATCCTTACTGTAAGAGTAGGCTACGTATACATAGATTCATATTCATTTTGGGTGAAAATTTAACTTACAAGCCTTGTGGGGCACTCAGTGCCAGGATGTGGAACCCAGCCTGAGTCTGGATGACCATCCTAGCATCTAGGTATATATATCCTAGTTATCGGCATAGAGAAGGAGCTAGTCAGAACAGGATAGCACAGTGGAAAGTGATGAGCCCTTGGGGAACATGCTTGGGCTCACACTTACACGGCTACCAGAATGTCAGCTGGTCTGAAATATCCCTGTGAACATGGTGATGGTTTTCTACCCTGAGAGGACACCTCTGTTATTAGAAGAAGGATTGTGAAAACTGATACAGTCCAAGGCAGGAGTGAGACAGGAAGCCCACAGGGCATTTCTGGAGATGCTCTATCTTGACAGCTGGTCCACATGCAAGCAGCCTTCTTTCCTCCCTAGCCCAGTACTGGGCTCCAGCATCTACTGAGTGAGAAAGCAGAGAGTTGTGGGAGGGGGAAGCTGTCCATGAGAGCTTGATCAGGCAGATCCAAGGCTGAGAATGGTTGCTAACATGTGTAATATGTGCTCTTGGCTTTAAGAACAGATGAGCAGTCCAGATTTCATATCCATTTGCTGTTTTATACAATACAAAATTTGTTTTATTTTTGTTTCCAGCCCCAAATAATTGAGTCCAATCAGCAAACTTTTTATGACTCCTCTAAATCTGATAGTCCTACTGGGCTGAAGAGTTCACCAGAAGAAGAGTCATATTAGAATGAATTGTACAAGAACTTTTGTGGTGATTGGAGGGAGGAGAGGTGGTCAGGGAGCCTCATTTGTTCAAGGCCTAGTGTGTTC